AACCTCCTACAAATAGGGTGTTTACGAGGGATTGGCTGTTTCTTTTTGTTCGATCAGTTCGTTTTTTCAGTGTTTATAAGTCCGTCGAACTAAATGAACTTAATTTCATGAAATTATACATGATCTTATGACAAGAACTCACAGTCATCTGCTTGCTTGAACGTTATTTTTAGTCCATTTTACAATGACATTTTCAGTAGTCGCGATAGAAAAAAATTAGTTGCCGTAAAAACGCCAGGAAAGTTTTCTGTGTATTTGGCTGTGGATAAACAGATAATTAATTACCAAATTTACACCATTTCAATCAGATTTTATACATATACAGGTATCTGATCTATGAGGACTCTTATAACGTTACTATCTCGTAAAAGGTGACACAACCTAGTAATTTCACCTAAAGTACGTGCTAACTTTAACAACATGGCGTATCGCACAGCTAATTTATTCAAATTCCTTTGCTGTGTTAAACCATCCTACTATACTGTCTATGGTTAAATCTCAGATAACTATTAAACAGACTCTTTATATCTTTTGTCTCGTGTTTAATTTTGCGTTTTCATCTTATAAACAATTGGGGGGAAAGGGAATTGTCCGCGAAGTCACGCGATAACGCACGACTTGTTGCAACAGCTAGTGACGCGAAGTTTCATATTTTCTTCACGTTAGTGATCCTCGCGGACCCAGAGGCATTCATAAAGTAGGTGCGGACACAATAAAACAAAGTATAGAAGTCAGTTGCAGGTCAAACTAAATGGCAGTGGAAATAAATCTGATGTATCCTATTTTCAATAGCTTTCAATACATATCGGCAAAATGAAATAACATAATAATAACATAAGACCAGCTTTGCTGTAAACATAACAACGTGAACTATTCTAGAAAAATCGAGTAACTATCGGGAAAAATGCCATGTTCCGGTAAAAGTCGTTCTTTTTTCTTAAATATACATTCAAGAACATTACTATGAAGATAGTCTATACATTCAAATAATCATTACGTTCTTAAAATATGGTCAATTTTGACTAAAAAAAATATATTATTCGGCAACTCAACGTAAAATTCTCTTGTTTCCGGGTGATCTGATCTGAACGGAGTACAGAGAATGACTGAAATGCACGCAAGGCCGAGGATTCCCGATGTGTGTAATCGCCATTCGGCAAAATTCGGCAAAGCGTGAGCCACAAACGTAGCCGAGACGCACGTTCGTCAGTTAGTTGTTGTTAGTTGTTTTTTAGTTGTTTGAGGTTAAACAACAGTATAATCGATTCTCTAAACACAAGCCTGGTCATTGTGACAACATACGTTAAATTACGGTATTTACATGCCTTACACTCTGCCTATGGAGAGTGTATCCTTATCTGATTTGTTATAACCATGGAAATACAAACCATGTTATAACCACGTTAGCGCTAAATGCAAATCGAACATAGCGTTGGTTATGGTGAATAGAGATTCACGCGTGGTCGTTGTTTTGTTATGTCAAGGATTCGTTTTCGTACAATATGAGGCGATTTTGCCTTAGTACTGAGAGTAGTAGGTTCTGCGAACACGAGCGTGTGCATATAACTCGCGCGTACTAGTAAATCTAGTAAAACTAGTAAATGCTCGCTCTTAAGGGGCAGTCACACCATGACGTTCTGGCTAGCGTTCTCTGGCGTTTGATGAAACGTTGGTAGTCGCCCAAAGTCGCTGTGACAGCGCCAGAAGAGCGCCGTGAGAACGCTAGTGAACATTGGTAATCGTTGCTGATCGTCGGGAATCGGCGGAGAATGCTGATCCCAAAAAAAAGTTTTGAACATTCACAAAAGTTCTCATTTGAGACCAGGGTTCTTAAACGTTTATTTTTAAACTCTGTTAAACGTTAAATAACGTTCTTCGATCGTTTTGCTAACGTTCGACGCGTTCAACAATCGTTAGTCAGTCGTTGCTCTAGCGTTACCTAGTTGTTACCAATCGCTCGCTTTGCAGTAAACAACTCACTAGCGACCTGTCAACGACCGCTGAACGTACCCCTAGCGCACTAAAGCGTGCGACTAACGTCAAATTAACGACCTAAACTATTCGTTCGTTATTCACACGTTAGATACACGCTCAACACGCTCACTTAACGTTTAAAAGTCGTTCGTCGCGCGCTAGTGACACGTTAGCACACGTAAATGATTTCCAGGGGTATCTTACTTGGTCACTCATTACACGCTCCTCGTGCGTTAGGAACACGCTAGTCATACGTTAAGGCACTCGTTAATCGAACGCTGGATGTGTCTACCTCGTTCCAGAACGCTCGGAAATTGGACGATTGGAACGTTCAGAGAACGCTGACCAAAACGTTATGGTGTGACGGCGCTATTAACGGGACTGAGAAAACGCGTCATGTGTACTTACACTGCCCGGACCCGTCTATAGGCGGGTCTTCCAACTATCTCAACTACTGGGCAACGTTAGATCTGAACAGAAAATTGTGAAGAAAAATTCTTATAGTTATCGCGGGTTGGAAGAGTGCTGTGTTGTAGCATGATTGGAGATGTTGATGGACGGCGTGTTTAGAGTGTATGTTATTGCTTGTGGGCAACATTTGTGGGATTGTCTTTGAGATTGTTCTATACTACGTTCACATTGTTGTGATAACACGTTATTTGAAGTGCCGATAGTCATCTTATTATTTGAAAAGTCGGGTATCAATCGTGTTTCCGTTCTTTTATACTGTAAATGGTACTCAAATGTAAATTTGAACTTTTCGCGTTTGTTGTTTATACAGTTTCGCATCTTTGTTGTGTACCTTTTTTTTCTATCCTTCTTTATTGCATACAATAGAAATTAGCTACAGCACAATGTCAATATACAACAAATGTCACAGCTAATATAACCCATACAAAATAGACACTGAATACCCATCAACAATTAATGTTTCCCCACATGTCCAGGAAAATGGACATTGTATGTCTTCTTTTTGAAATTTCTAACTCTATCTTTTGCGTGTAACGTATATCAGATTTTATGAGATTAAAGCATGGTAGTTCCTTTTTTAATTTACACGTATAGATATTTCTTTTAACAATTATAATTATATGGTTTAGTAGAGGGGAGAAGTCCTTGTCTCCTAATATAATCTGTTTTGCTGACAATGTTCTTGGGCATCCTAGTTTTGTTCCCCATAGATTAAAAATTGATGTTCAGAGGACTTTAATAGACTCGCATTCAACAAAAAGATGCACTAGGTTCTCGGTGGTACCATGACAAAATGAGCATAAATCTGACGATACTAATGGTGAACATATGGAATAACATTTCATTTGTGTACAGGATATTGTGGTTTAATTTCCACTGAAACTCCCGTAGTTTGCTGCATAGAGTTGTGTATCTTCATATAAGGGATTTTCCCATGATATTTCACCCATTCCGTGGTTTAATTCCTTATGAAGTGACATTAGAATTTCAGTTAATATTCTTCATTTTTTGGGTGAAAATATCGAATTGTCCGGAGTGTTTGGTGGCTATTTATTGATTGTCTAAAAGTTAACGATTTAGATTCTAAAATAGCTACAGAGTGGTGATTTGTGTCGGAGCATGTTGATCTGAGCGAGTAGTTTTTATCCCCATTGTATTCTGTCCAATTGTTGCGTGATTGCGAAGCGTGAGAGTTATCAAGTCTTGGTTAGCTGTATTTGTCTATGATACAGTTAAATTAGGAAGCAAATAAGAATAATAACTACGGGGTTATCGTGCTCACTTCGGACTGAGAAATTCGATCTAAAAATGGAGTTAAAATAACATGTTTCGCCTGTGTGCATTTTAACATCATTTCCTATTCCCATGACAAATTATAAATACTTCTTAATATCAAGGATTGCTTCACTGAAAACAATTTTTTGATAAAACCTATACAAATAAGGAAAAGTAAAGTATTATTTTCTTTACAACAATTAAATATAATTTATTTTCCAATCTCTAACGCATATTTAAACATCGGGCATGTTCAAGTCTCCAAACAAAGTAACTTGTGGCTAAATGAATATATTGATACTGATATTTTTTAACCACCAGTTTCTAATATATTTCTGTGACAACATGCGTGTAATTGCTCCACTGAAAAAACAATCTTTGAAAAAACCTATACAAATAAGGAAAAGTAAAGTATTATTTTCTTTACAACAATTAAATATAATTTATTTTCCAATCTCTAACGCATATTTAAACATCGGGCATGTTCAAGTCTCCAAAAAAAGTAACTTGTGGCTAAATGAATATATTGATACTGATATTTTTTTAATATATTTCTATGACAACATGCGTGTAATTGTTTCAGATTGCTCCCCACAAAAGTACACCAGTCATCTTTTCAATTTTCCACTTTTAATAAATAATTGTACAGCCTAAACCGTATGGCAATACTTGGTTAAATAGTTTAGTTACTGTGTCTGGAATGATCGAGTACACCATGAGAAAAAATAAATGATAGTAGCTAAATAAATTCAGCCCATACAACTCAAATCTTGGTTTCTAAATATTGAAACGCGTTTCTGTTTTATTATTTAAAGTTCAAAGTTACTTTTTGCAGCTTCGTTCATATCACAACAAATAAATATGCCGAATATTCAAACACTCGAGTGGTTTCGTTTTTCACATAGCAATGAGCCTAACCACGTAGCATCTGTTTTGTCCGGGCTATTTCTAGTTTATTTTGCTTGATCGGGACTGCCAACAACTTTACCAACAACTTTACTTTGGAAAATGCACTTGTAATTGAGCTAGGTTCACATTTCATAGTCACTAATCTGTTGGTATATATTCGTTGATGTTACTCGCTGTTGTTTTTGTTTATGTACAATATTATTCATTGTTATTTCATGCATTATATCATGGAGTTGCTGGTTACCTTGTTACCGTAGTTTGTTTCTGTACTCCCCGCCTTAGTGTGCGCTGCAGACACAACGACCTCCTATGTGACGTGTAATAGTTACAAATATACATGAATTCATAACTTTGATTGTTTGTAGATCAAAATGTCCGATGTTACATACATATTAGTGACTGGCGGAGTGGGTTATATTGGTAGTCATATTGTGGTAGAGCTGGTCAATGCTGGATACACTCCCGTTATTATAGACATATTTGCCAATGCTGTTAAAGGTATGTCGATGACTCGAAGTAAATAGTATGGACACTATTTATACACACACACAATACAGAAAACTTTCAATGGACAGCACTTCTCCCTCATAGATAAATGGATATTTCTGTTACTCTCGAGAAATTGTACAGGTAAATGTTAACACCATACTCTTGCTATGTTTAACGTTTAAAAGTAATGGAGACAATAGACTTTAAATTGCCGATAGGGCTACTGTGACAATTTTTTTTTCATTTGACGGTTCTGAAAATGATCATAATTACTATGCTGTTGATTGTTTGCTGTACAAATTTCACATGTATATGACCGTATTCCCATTTCGTAATTTCGTTTCAATTTTTATTGTTTCCATATTTATTCTAGCTACTGACAATGGGAGACCAGTTGTTATTGAAAGAATGGAAAAGATCGTCGATAAACAGCTTATATATCATGATATTGATATTTTAAATAAATCTGCACTAGATGATCTTTTTGCCAAGGCAGGTTTCATTTTTTAATTATTCTAAATTTAATCATTCACAGTTAGTGTGGGATTCCATGACGATGATTGGAACACTATGGGTCTCATTGTAACGTACTGATTTGCCTGTATATATATTGCAATTGTATTTGATCATACATACGAAAATGTGATAATGATTATAGATGAATTAGATTTGACTTTACATCAATCAATTGGACAATAACTCGGAAAATATCGTTTCACATTGTTGCTAATATAGCCAAGAAAAAAACAAGAAAACAAAATTACAGAAACTATATATATACAAGGAAATTTTAAATTAAATTTACATAAGTATGTGTGACTATTTTTGCTTGTCAAATATTAAGCACCTCATGTTTTATTATGTAGAACATTCTTCTACTGAGCTCGTCTTAGAGTCGGTGCCATATGTAGTGTCACACAAATAATTAAGATCCCTCCTAAATTCATTGTAATGTTTTGTTAAGTTATTAACACACGTGTACACATACATTGTACCATACTGATTTAATTTCACATTTCCATCACAGTATTCATTCTATGCTGTTATACACTTGGCTGGACTGAAAGCCATGAGAGAGTCAATTAACATGCCAATAGAATTTTATAAAGTGAATGTGTTTGGAACTCTCAATATTGTAGAGGTAAGCAGGCGGTCATGAGAAAACAGTGGCAATAATAGTGGTATAGTACCTAGAGGGTGGAAATTCTCAGAAACACAACATTTAATGAATATATTATATTATACTCTGTCAAAAAGTTGCAGAAACAAGAGGGAAATTAAATTAAAATTTATTACTTGATTCCTTTGACACGAAGAGTTTTCCCGATAGCACAGCTTTGCCATTTAATAACCACAGTGAAGTGAAAATCGGTCGTTATACACATTTACCCAAAATAACTAAACAAACTATTCCTGCCGTGTTAACAACAGGGCCATGTACGACATCTGACCATTTTAGACTCACCATACATTATGTGGTTATATTGAAAAGAGCATTGGTATATGTTCGGGCCTGGATTCCAGGACAATCAATTATTTCATCACACATTGTCATGGTAAAGCGATAGTACAACAAAGAATGACAACAGATTCGTCATATGGTCTGTTACCAAGAACTCGTGCCGACTGGAACTGACATCACCACAGTGCTATAACATTATTTTTTTTATCATTTTGTTAATTAGTGTATGAAAGAACATGGAGTCAATAATCTCATGTTTTCAAGTTCAGGGTCAGTTTATGGTACTCCACAATACCTACCTATAGACGAGAAACACGCAGTCGGTGGTTGTCTGACCCCATATGGAAAATCAAAGTACTTCATTGAAGAAATACTAAGAGATGTCAGCAAAGCGGAAAAGGTGAAACTGGCTGTAATTGTTTATGCTAACATCTTACCGAATTTGCTGTCTTGCATTTTAGTTTAATTATTCACTATTTAGCTATTCATTTAATCCAAAGATTGATATTTCGATGAAATCCATATAAATTATAAGGACCCTCTATAAAGTATATTATATACTTGTCAACTAAATTATTTATTATCCTTCTACGGTTTGTTTTAGTTTATATAGGTTTCACGGTTTTTGATTGAGTTATGCTTTCCCCTCTTGTCCCCTTTATATTTAGCATGTCGCTAGCAGAAGATGAAATATTGATTGACACTTGTATCAATTGTTCTGACTAGTGAAGTGGATATTGAATTATAACAATAAATTCATATGCAAACCGTAACATTAACTCAATCAAGTTCATATTCAACATATAACTTTAAACCAATCAGGGTAATATGCAAACTGTGACATTAAACCAGTCAATTTCATATATATATATATATATATATATATATATATATATATATATATATATATTGTCTTCTAGAATTGGAATATCATTCTTTTTCGATATTTTAATCCAGTTGGTTCCCATAAATCTGGTTTAATAGGCGAGGATCCTCGAGCCACAAATCTTATGTCGTATGTAGCACAGGTCGCAATTGGTAGAAAACCACATTTAAGTGTTTTTGGTGGCGACTATGATACTCACGATGGTACAGGTAAAGTCTACCGTAAAATAGCTTGTCTAGCCTGGAAGTGACTCTGCATGTATTAGGACTAGTAAGTGGGATATTTGCTATGATCATTCCAATAACTTTATTTATTTGAGTCTTGAAACCGTGATGCTGTTATGTGAAACTTTCGATAGTCTAAGTATACGAGGTAGAAGAAAATATTTGCGAAATTGGCCCCTTCATCATCCTTGTTCTAAAACATCTGCCGACAGAGGCGAAATTGTGCGAAAAAAGGTGAAATACACTGTGATTTATTGTCCTAAATACTCCATATAAAATGTTTGTTGCAACAGTATTTCGCTGTTAAGATTCACATATGTATGGAAACTAACATATTTGTGATTATTGTCTATATAGGTGTTCGAGATTATGTCCACGTTGTTGACCTAGCACTTGGGCACATTGCAGCACTTAAGCAGTTCACCACCAAAGGTGGATTAAAGATCTATAATCTTGGTAGTGGAAAAGAATGTTCTGTCTTAGACATGGTAAGGGGAATGGAAAAAGCATCTGGAAAAAAAGTAAGCAAACACTGATTGTGATATTCACATATATATGCACACTAAGAATCGGCACGTATACCTCACATGGACATGATGCACATCACAAATGGACATTGTGTACATCCTATATGTGTATCCCACATAAACAGCATGCACATCCCAGGGACACTATGTACACCCCATATGAACAACCTACACATCCAACTTTGAAATTATGCGCATCATACATTAAAATCATGCGCAAACCTCACGGACGTCATCACATGACATTACGTTTGATGGGATTATGTACAAATATATAAATTAAATGTTCCCATTTTTTGTCTAGATTCCTTACAAAATAGTTGATAGAAAAGATGGAGATGTTGGATCTAGTTATTCGGACGCGACTTTGATACAGACTGAATTAGGATGGAAACCTGAAAAAAACTATGAGGAGATGTGTAAGTACACTGTTAGTGTATCATTTGTTAACCATTTGCAATAGTGTTGTTTGTTCACGTATTTCTCTGTTGCTCAACAAATTTTAAATAAATTATGCTGACCTAATTAATAGTTGATCTTGTTCGGCCATTGACATATGAATTATTTTATAACGGAAATTATGACACCCACGTACTCTACAATGATGTCACCTCACCTTATGTTACCATTGTCGCATTTTACAATGTCATTTGCTTTCAGTTGAAGATCTCTGGAGATGGCAAAAGAATAATCCCGAAGGGTATGAAACGGCTAATTCCATATAAAGTTTGGAAAACATAAAGTTGTTTTTTTCTCGCATAGAAGATCATAAAGACGATTATATAGAAGATAATTTTAGAATACCGGGAGGTAGTGGATATATTTTGAGCAGTTTTCGTGGAGCTGTTCTAAATTAGTATTTGTCATCTTTCGTAGCTTTATGGTGTAGAAGCGGGTTAAAGCGTTAGGTTAAATTTTGTAGTAGTCATGTTGAGACGGTGTTGACTACACATGATTAAACATTATATCAGGTTATTTTAAATTGAATATCCTTTGCCGACACTACGGCTCAAGATGAGATAATGGCTATTTTGCACAATCATTACCTCATAGCAGATTTTACCGACTAAAAACTGGCTATACCTCTCACTTAAACAGAGCAATTAATGTTTTATTTAATGTCGTCTTGTAAATTATTCAGAACGTTCGAAAATGTATTGTTGTACCTTTCACAGTAATGTTGGTGTCTTTAATTAAATGAAAGGAAGGTATAGAAGTTAAGATAAATAAGTCTTTGTCGTCGTTGTTGTAGTAGTTGTAGTTACTGGGAATCGTGTGATTGATTTTATTAGTATAAATTGAAGTTTGATTTCCACGTTTCCCAACGCCCAAAATCATGCCACCAGACACACCAGTCAGCCCCACACCAAAACTATGTAGAAAACGTTTCTTCAAAAATGCGGAGATACCTAACACCCAGGGTTGACACAAGGGCTGCCCATGCTGGTCCAACCATGATATAGGAAAACAACTACTACCCATGCTGGTAGCTAGACTAAAACTGTACATATTGACGGGTGTACAGTTTAAATGCATCCGATTTTCACCTTCTCAGACTTCTGATTTGTGCATCAGACAAGCCACAAAATGTAGCCCTGTATTGAATTTAAGCATGAGTAATCGCGTTTTATAGGTTGTTGATCTGGCGTAGAGAACAGAGGAGGGCAGGGTTTTGCCCCCTTAACAGCAAAAAAATGGAGACCGCTGCAATTGGACAGTAAGGGAGCCGTTGAAAACCAATAACAACGACCTGAGGGGGGATAGCCATGCTTGTATTTGGTGAAGGTAACTTTCAAAGGACTATGTACACAGCACCCCGACTGCAAATTGGCAATGTCGTGTAATTGCAATATATGTGAAACACTATCTTTGGTAGTAAAAGTTATCTCCCCGATGCGTGTGCATGCATAGAACATGAACAGAAATAGTGCTTTAAAATGATCCGACAATGTATGTAAAGCGTCAACGAGGGCAGGCAAAATGGAGAGTGATATTGTTAAACGCCTACAGCCGGAGTTTGTTTACTCATGGTTGTTTAGTAATTTGTTGACAACAACAAAATCTGTCAGATTTCTACACCTCTGTAGCTTATGTAAATAACTAATTGCTGACGCAGTGGTGGCGATTGTACTTGCCGAGAACCCGTGCATGTGCATGTCTGTAAAAAAAACATGGCTATCAGGGATTCACTGACTGGCAAAGTTAAATTCCATGTGTAATGCTTGACGTGATAACGCCTGTCAAGCTCGGAACACAGTGTTGATGGGGCCAATGCTGACTTCATCATTTCCGTCATTCACCACTGAACGTCTTCCATGTACCCTTTGGAATAGGGGCTGGCCACTGATCTAACCATGGTGCCAGCTGTTGAAATTTCCTGACCTGAAGTCGGGAAAGAGAATCTGCCAATTCATTACATTTTTCCGGAATATGTTTTGCCTTAAACCTGACGTTGCATCGGAGACAAACTAATACCATTCTTCTAACAAGACTTATAATGTCCTTATCTTTACTTGATTGTCTGTTATTATATTCACCACTGCAGCATTGTCTGACAGAAACAAAATTGCCTGGTTAGACATGAGATCACCCCATTCCTCAATTGCCAGTACGATGGGAAAAAGTTCCAAAAATGTTATGCTGTGTATACAATTGTTTGGCCAACTTCCATAAAACCAATGTGAGCCAAACAATGCCCCAAACCAGTATATACAGATGCCTCTGTTATCAGCTGGAGTGCAGAGTCTTCACAAAAATTAATCATGATATCATTTATTATAATAGAATCATGATAACATTGATCATAATAGAAAAGTTCTTGCCACTTAAACCTTAGCAATTTATAATCAAATGGTGCCACTGAATGCAGAGCGAATATCTGGCCAAATCCTGACCGAATTGTATTATTGCCTGAACCGCATCATCCACCCGTGTAAACATAACTGTAACAAGCTCAGGTGGAATGCCATCATTAATGGAGTTACACTGTGGCCAAGACAAATGTTGAATCAATATGAATTCACCTTGCTCCTTCTTAGGAACAACACCCAATGGTGAAAAATTACAATTATTGAAGGTTTTTTTTTTCGGAAATGGCTCAGCTGCTAACTCTTTCTGCAACGTTTTGTCAACAACCCCTGGTTACTCAATAGCTGAACTAAGATTAGGTGAATCAGACGTTATGTTATCTCCAAAAAACAACAGAAAACCCACAACTGAAGCTATCAATAAAGTACTGAGCCAGAATAAGATAATACCCAAATAACCTTAGTTGTAACTGTTCAACATTTATTGGGGTGGGACCTATATGGGAAACTGGGGTTAATCGATATATACCAAACGTCACATCCTTTTTTGCAAAACATGGGTGTAATCCAGAGCACAAGAAACATTTGTTAGGGTAGTTGCACCCTATAAGTCTATAAGTATAAGTCATTTAATGAAGAAAAAACTTCAATAAAATAAGAAAGTGACTGACATGTTTTATTCAAGAATAATATTCAGGTTATGAATATCAATTACTAACATCAAGATTTTAAAACCTCAATAATCACTGAAAATCGTGTTAATGAAAACAAATTAATTTCAAAAAAAATAAATACTGTAAAATGACTAATTTTCATTGGGTTTAATTTTCACTGATTTACCATATCAGGCATATTAAGTGGGTTTTAAATTCACGGTTTCGTCATTTAGATAATGTGTTCTATGCTAAATTTTACATATTCACTGTGTTTTAATTTAGCGCATTTTCCAGTCAGCGAAATAAGCTAAATTAAAACCCAGTGAATAATTACCCCCTTTACAGTAGCCGCTACAATATGAATTAGTCCAGACTGGGTGCTACCACTTCCCAATGCCAGCGAATTATGGAAATACTTTGCAAATTACTGTAATCGTACTTTGATATACAGTATCTTACAGTAATGCATTTCAAATGGGGAAAACATGAAATTGCACAACTAACAGACCAAATAGCATTAGCTGTGGTATTTTATTTATTTATTTATTTTTATCAAAACCTGGTAGCGGTAAAACGCCGTTCTTTCTTTCCACGCTTGTATCGCATTGTCGCTCAGTGCCTGTTGCTCAACGTCCGCGTACATATTATTTAATTCATGCAACACTATCACTCCTTGAAACATATGAACTATATACATGCCTATAAATTACTAGTTTAAGAAACCAATGCACTAATAATTGCACAATCGAAATTGGAATTAATAAACATAACATGATGCGACAGAATCAAATGCACGACTAAACACACCGTAGCAGCCTTTGAAGGCACTCTCAGCAAGTCACAATGCCTTTGCCTTTGGGAAAAAGGTGGACAAAATGTCACTCATCTACCTGTACACATTCACACCACGTGGCTTGAATATATTCAGTGCTAGCTAGTGGATTATAACTACCCAAGCTATAATTTTACAGATAATTGTTTCAATACTACTAATGATAATTTAAGGTATGCTCGTCATATAGAGCCTTTCCGTTTAAAACATTTTGCTGATGGTGGATTTGTGAGGATTGGAGATTTATTTGACGCAACGAAGAGATCGTGATTTTCCAAGTCATACTTTATGAATAAAATAAATATCCCCTCTAAACGCTTTCTTAACCTCAGTTTGAAAATCGCCCATGATGCCATTCCAACTAAATGGAAATGTTAAAACAACACCCATTTTTGAAAGGTAAATGAGCAACCTCCGACGCATCTAAGTCTTCAGTCATATATAAATATATGTTAATGGTTCATTATATACAACTTGCCATCCAGAGAAATTTTACACTGTTTGGCAGGATACTTTCAGTCCACTAATTGCTTTCAAAACCTAATTTCAAAGATTGCACTGGCAAGTACAAAGTTTAAGGGTGATTTGCAATGGCATATTTTACAGGATGTTTACACCATCACCGATTTCCTTGTGCATGCGAACTTCTGATAGATGTACGCTTTGCGGTGTTTGAGACTTGCTTTTGCATGTTTTTTTTTAGAATGCCAGGCATAGCGCCCTCTGTGGTCTCATAAGATGAACAGCGTCCAGGCGTCTGCAACTACGTGCGTCACCTCCACCATGGTGGTTTGTTGCGTTACCACCTCACCACTGTCGCATTGTTTTTCTCGACAGTGCGAGAAAACTTTTTGTATATAATATGTCTTGCAAAGATCTATATTATCAGTCGTCGTAACAAGCGGGATAGAAATAGTTACACCATTTCACTCTTGAAAACTGTATTACTAGCAGAATCAAATCAGAAAATGAATTCTAAAAACTTTCAGACAATTTACAGCAATTGTAGGTTTGTAATGACGCACTTTGTTTAGTGAATTTCGTTATTTCAGTTTATGTTTCCAATTGTTTGGCACAAATTAATATCGCTCCTTAGAAGTTACTGAATTGCTGCAATACAATGCACTACTGTCTTATACCTGGGTAATTTTCTGCGGTATTTTTGTGTTAAAACGGAAAAGTGGATAACTTGAAAAAACATTAAGGTACAATTTACTAATAAATAAAATAAATTGTGCGTATCCACAAATAGTCGGATTTCTTAAAAAATAATACTGAAAATTGAAGTTTTTAGTTACACGAACGTGTACGTAATTTGAGCATGTGTGTATGCGTATGTATTTTATCGAACATACATCGAGCGTATGTATTATCAAAATATCAGTATTATATTTTGGAAATTCATACACAAAGGGTAATTGAGTTGCTAA